AAAAAAGAAAGTATAACAGGAAAAGTGAACAGGAACAAAAAACATGAACGAACATGACCCTTCCCTCCCGGTGTGAATTTCACCCACAGTAGTGCGAGGATCGCGCGATCACAGCGATCGCGCGATCCGGATCGCGCGATCGCGAAGTCTGAACGCGCTCTAACGACACAGCCATTCTCGCGCTTCTCGATAGTACTGTTGAAGTGTTCCAATACTTGCTCGTTGATGCGAGCTCTTTCGTCTCTCTCTGGACCGCGTACTCTTGTTCTACCTCCTGGCTTTGCGTATTCCAACGCTTTTCCCAGTAGTCATCGTTCTCATGTGATTCTACGGAATGCACGGATGAACATATTTGACCTCCTTTCTCTCTTTTCTTCACTTATGCATTTCCCAGAAACCATGTAACCTAATCGTGTGGGTAATTATGAATCTGGATGGCATCTTGAAATGTAGTGTTTCAAACCTCGCCTTTTTGAGATTCCAATCGTGCCTCTGGGGTTGTTATTTTGCTGCATGCTGTAGTCCACTGGTCCCTGCTATCGCAGTAGAACAAAATGGAAGGCGATTTATTGACTGAATTTGCGGTTCACCGCCGATTCTTTCGGGCGCTGCGAATTTTCCGATCTTTTGGGCATATGCTTCTCGATTTCTTGCTGTTTGATTGCGCTTCAAGAGTGTGATCATGAGTTTCATCAATGTCCAGGTTTCGGTTGGTGCTGAGGAGACCTTTTCTTCTAGAGTATTATTCTGAATTCTCTCTGTGAATTTCGTAAGAGTTTTGGATAGCGACGAAGTGCTATGAAGGGATTCGCCTTCACTCACAAGTTGGGCTGTTATAGTTGATGGCTGGTTATGGAGCTTGCGCTCTTCAGTTGCGTGCTTCTTGCGGTCCAGTTCTCCATCTGACGATGTAACCCAGTAATGACGTTTTGCACATTCCCTTATCTCTCTTTGAGATGGGCTACTGCAAGGCTGTAAATGGGCGGGGTTCTTTAAATCGTGCGAAGGACTCAAGACTTCTCCTTTCAATGCACTCAGAGGATAACTGAACTTATGGAGATCCGAAATCTGCAGGGAATGCACGGTTGCGTCGAAGAGCTTCCAGAAGTTATCCCATTGCTAGCTTTCTCCATTAAACTGTGGTATTTTCGGAAGCTCTATTCGAATAGCTGAACTCCCACCATTAAGCTGGTGGCTCACTGGAAGGTGCAGGACAACGGGAAAACGGGAAGAACAGCGGGAAATAATCCGGCTCTTACCAGGAAAGGATGGTAGGTCGAAGTAGCCATTTGAAATGAGATGTATACCGACCGACGCGTCTTTGGACACTGATTTCGAATCTGCTTTCCGAATCTTCTCCAAACAAAGTTATGGAGGTTTCTATGGCTGACCGCTAGGACTGTAGGGTTCAACCCGGCCAATGCTCAATGAGTATTCAAATGGTGCGTGACTGTGCAGCAAACGTGTTGCGGTGAGCGAGTGGATTAGCGATCGGTCTCATGTTTGTGCGATCAATGGTCCGAAACCTTGGTTAGGACGTTGTTTTGCATTTTTTTGAAAATGTTCCCTACATGTTTTAAAACCATTCTTACGTAGCCAGGAGACCTAATCTTGCCGAAAAATGTTACTTCTGAAGGAATGGGATCATTCTGGAAGAGTTTTGAGGGAGACCTCTGAATGCCGTCGTTCTCGTTCCTATTCCATCATTCGCTACGTTATGCTGTGTCGCCAAACTGGCGCCAAATGGTACGGCCGCCAAAAGTGATTGTCATACTTGTGATCAGGACCGTCTGTTACCAATGAGGTTTGAAATTTAGCGAAAATACTCCAATACCCACTGGGATTCTAGTCGAGGATAGTGCCAGCGGCCTTAAGGGATGTATTGCCCATGGTTACCCCACTGTTTCGAATTTTGGTCAAAATCTCAGACTTTGCTAAAAACTTGCCCCTATGGCTAATTTGATCCCCAGAACACGAATATCACACTCATTCAGCGCAAAAACGCTTGCGTCGTGCGCTACGGGCTCCTGCACACCTTCGTCCTCTCTAGCGTCACAGTCGCTCAAATAGACGGCGACCCGGAATGCGAACACGATATTCCCATGAGAAATGAGTGTAGTGTTACTTCTTGATGTCCTAGGCAACCTTTGGTTCGGAATTTGTGCGAATTTGGGGTTTCTTGTGCCTTACATACATGATGAAAATAGGGGTGACCAGGTCAAAAACCTGCACAACTCTGCTCAGAGAATCGTTTAGCAGATATGGAATGCAGATTTGTAATCAGCTTCCAAAAAGGCATCAGATGGTATACATCTCATCTCGAACGGCCACTTCGACCAAACATCCTTTCCTGGTTAGTAATCTCGAGCTTTACTAGCAATGCTACGCTTCCGAGATCGTGTTCTGAGCATTATTTGTGTACTCCGATTTTTCCCTCTCGATTTTTCGTATGTGCCGTCTCAAGGTAATCTGATGTCTCGGTAAATTCAAAAAGAGCCTTTTCAAAGACGGCTTGAAGTTCTTCAATTTCTGCTTCACAACGCGAATTTCACTGAAAACTACCTTACATGGATTTCTGTCCTCTAAATTCAGGTCATCACCCAAAGTAGAGTACTTGACTAGACTATGCGAAAAGGTTCTAGAATGCCTGGTTAACACGCTTTCCTTGTTGTTGAGGACGTTGCCATTCTTCGACTGCATGACTGGGTAGCTATGTGACCGATTCTCGGAGCACGGTGGGACTGTACTCAGTATGCTCTATGGAATGCCTTTTACACACTTCTATTTGCTGAAGCGGTTAGCAACTTTCCATGGAATCTGGAAAGGTGGTCAGTGAAGGAGCTTATCAGTTGGTTTCTGGAAGACTCCAAATGAAGAGCTCCCTCACTGATCGGTCCGGCTTCCTTACTCAGTACACGGTCGATGCATCACCTGTATTAACGGTGGTTCAGTGTAGTTCAACTTCAAACTTGGGTATTTAAACTTCATGGATATTGCAATCAAAAACATAAATCATGTATTATCCACAAGGTTACGAAATACAATAAGGCGTATACTACAAATACAATAAGACATACAATGGCTACAGTAAGACAAGCTAAGTTGGCTAAATAAGAGAGCTGAAGTAAGAATGTTATAAATGGATGCTCTTTGCTCGGGACGCTCAATGCTCTACTTCGTGCTCTAGAGGATCCACTTGCTCTAAGAAAAATAGGAAAGTGGATGTGGAGGCTCTTATTCTTCCTTCTATAAACAGTTCTCGGGCGTTCTGTGGGAATGCGTGAGAAGCGTTCTACAGCTATCAACATTCACTACAGTACAGATGTTACACTGCTTCTACTGTCATGCTCTAGTTACCTCTGTGAGAAGGGAATCTTCCAAAGCTCAGCGAGAGAAATGAAGTGATGCATTGATTACGATCTTGGGACTTCGCTTCTTGAATTTCGCTGCTCTCTCTTCTTGCATCGAAAAGCGGAGTCTCGGGCAATGGTCGGATGAAGAACTGTAGAACTTAAAGACAATGGCGACGTCAGTCAGGCAAAACCTTCGATAGGAGATGATGTGGTCGATTTCATACAGAAACACTAACGCTAATTTGTTTTTTGTTTGTTAACTGCTGTTTAACGCCGCAGTACGCGATATCGCGTACTGCGGCGTTAAACAGCAGTTAACAAACAATAACAGCTTGAAACTTGTAAAAAGCCTTCAGCCTTGCGGTTCACTGCCGATATCGGCTAACCGGCTCATCACGTTGAACGTGTGAGTGCTCGAAGGCAATGGCACAAATAGCCATTGAGCTGAGTGGTCAAAAGTGGCCTCGGTAGCGTAATAGGGAACGCAACTGCCCGGTAAGCAGAAGATGCGGGTTCGAATCCCGTCCGTGGTCCGACTTTTGCCCATAACTCAGTATTCTTGTGAAAACTAACGCTAATATACAGGGGGGCCAAAAAAGACATTTCGACCGAGTCACATATCAGCAAAGTTTTCGCAGCCCAGACAGAGGACGTGGATACGAGTACCAGGGCGGAAGATACCCAAGATGTTCCTCTATAAGCAGGAGCTGGCTCTCGCCCATCACCTTCATGTACACCAAAATATGAAGTCATCTCCAGTCGCAGCCTGACTGGAGAAGACCTTGGAATTCATGTCACCTCCAAACAGCTGCGAAACTTCTAGTATGGAGTCACCCATGGATAGCTACCTGGAGACCAGTACTCTCGATCTGGAAGACCTCCATCATCGAGCAGCTCCGTCAACGTCGCTACGGTCTAGGACATCATCTTCACCTCAGTCGCCAAGGCGCCAGTTGATGGTGGGGACCGGACGTACCTGGAATGGAGAGACCGATATTTTCTTCGTGGCCCCGGACTGAAGGTGAGCGCTGGCGGTTACATCGAGCAACTCGAGAAGAATATCCTCCCACATGTCGTCGCCCGTACCTTCTTGGAAACTTTGTACTGCTACAGGATTGGGTGACACCACATGGAATCAAAGGGCGTTGGGAAAACTCTTGCCTACTTGGAATGGAAGGGCGTTGAGTACCTGAAGAAGAGGAATAAGAAAGAAGAGATATTTCGCTTCTTGGAATTTCGCTGCTCCGTCTTCTTCATCGAAAGCGAGTATTCCATGAACGTCTTAATTAATCTCGGCATATATGTAGTATATAGTACAGTAGCTTGATCGTTTAGCCTTCCGAGATTGGTAACGACGTTTATTAGACTAACGTTTCGGCGAAAATCGCCTTCTTCGGAGTCCTGTAAAGTCGGAAGCACGCATTGTCGA